TCGATAGAAACATGACATATTTGTCTTGAATTCCCAGTGAAGTGGTGTGTTCCTGTTCTGGACACCTAGAGGAAGATTAGTAATGCACGCAGCTTTGCTGCTCATGTCATTTGTACAAGACCAACTTACCCCCACAACCAGCAGTAAGTCCGTGATGGCAGCCTAATGTTTGCAGCCTTCTGAGAAGAAGTAATAGGAAAGGTAGCACTCAGCTGAATCCACTGTATTCTTTCTATTCACATTAAAATAAAGCAGTTAGAATTTTGCTATAGCTGACTCAGCCTAGATTTGAACCCAGGATCTAAAAGCAAATTAAATTTCACCATCCACGTTAAAAAAGCAATTCAGCTTCTGAACTGGATCAGCTTTGATGCCACACTAAAGAATTTAGTTGAAATGTGGTATGATGAAAGACTGTTCAGCAGCAGATATAATTATCATACCAATCTTAATTAGATCATGAACTTGACTTTAAAATCCCCAAAGGAGCATTGAAAGCTTGGTCCAGTTACACTGAACTTGGTCTAGAACACTGAAGCTTATCCATCAGTATAAATACATTACTAGTTCTTTGATATGGCAGATGCTTGATGAGCGACAGAGCAAATGCCTTTTTAACTATGATTTAAAAAAAGAATTATTAAACTGCACTCAAGTGTATGCTGTTATCTTTGAGGGGAAAAAAAGTATAATACATGAAAAACAATTATTTCAGAGTACATGGAGCACAATTTTTCAAGCATAGTTTTAGAATTAAAAGCATTTGAACACAGGTTCTCTCTGCAGAGAGCCACTTTGTAACCAATTCAAGCCTTTAAATAGCTATTGTTTAAAAAAATTGTCAGCTACAGAAATTGTTTTTCCTTCAGATTCCAAATCCTGTCAGGCTAGGTTGATTAAAATGTTGCATTAAAAAAGAAAAGGCCAAAAAAGAGGCAATCTGATCACTCCTTATAAAAGTGAAAACAGCAACTCAATTTTTAAAGCATTGCGAACAAAAGACTATAGCCCATCTATCATTCACATACGGATTCATGTAATGATTCTTCAATTAGAATTATTATCTATACAGCAGCTGAAGACTGAGAACTGCTGATACACTGCAGATGAGAACATTTGCTAGTCTCTGGGCTCCAGCCTTTCCTAAAAAATGATGATCGCACAATATAGATTGCTCGGTTTATATGTGTATTAAGCTGCAATGCCAGCATTTACATTTGCAACATTACAATTTTGCTTTCTTAGGCTCAAGAGAATTTGCTGCATCTGGTGGATTTTATTTGCTTTGTATCTTAGGCAATCGTTACGAACGAAGTGTGAATAGGCAGTATTATTGCTCAAATGGCCCTTCCTTTTGTTCATTATCCCAGATACTACAAAAGTAGTAAACTAAGAGTGTGCCTGTGAGATGGGTCATTCGGTGTCAGTTTGCTTGCACTATATTATCCCAGCGCTATTTTTGTAAGGCACGTCCATCTGCTCCTTCATTTCTTTCACCTATATAGATCCAGAAAGCATAAGATGTAATAGCAGAGGCAAAGAAAAGCATCTCACAGAACAGTTACAGCTGCCATAAGGGAGGAAAATCACTCTGGCAATTCAGACATATTGCAATGCAGCAATATGGGGGTCCCTGCCTACCCACGCACCCTGCCCCGCTGCCAAAGTTTACTGTCTGCAGAAGCAGGTATCCATAGCATATACGTTCTGCAGAAGCAGAACAGGAAATGTGCTGGCTCTGCAGCCACTGCTCCTCATACCTGCAGTGCTCAAACACTCCCCAGTCCCAGTATCTGTTAACACACTATGAACTGCGGTTGCTGCCAAGCAGGCAGATACTTTGCTACCTCTGCTACAAGGCAGTAACTTTCGACAGAGCAGCAGCCTAGGTAGCAAGAATGGCAACCTCCTAAACATCTCTTTCTGAATCCTCAGCTCTTCTGGAATATTTTGGTTCCTTGCCCATTCCTATTTCATGGCTGGTAACCACATGCTGTGACCTAGAAGATGATAGAGATAAATAGTACCCATGAGACAGCTGTACTAAATGGGTTTCTGTTCTTGGTGTTTCTACTAAGGATTCTTCCTGTCTGAACCCCAGGTATGTCCTGAAGGCCAGACAGCCTTCCTGGATGTCTCACTAGCAACATGGATGCTGGAGACAGCAAATTGGCTCTAGCAGATTTTTGAGGTATGTGGAAGCCTTTAGTGACATGTGCCTATGTAGAGATTAGGAAAAGGGCTGCACAGGTAATTAAGAAGCATCTTATTTCACTGTACAATATTTGAAAGATCTTCATAGAAGGCAAATGTTGTTCTGTTTCACTCTGCATAGTCTGGCAAACCTATGCCCATGCTATTGCCATCTCTCACAGTACTACTTTCAGTGGGTGAGACCTGCCACAGCCATGAAATCTCCCCATATCCATTATAGGAAGGAAATGAAAACTCTGCTCATGGGTGGATGTTCCAATATTGTTTCACTACTTTATTACAGATATTAGTGAATACAGAATAAGTGATTTATACTCTTCCTTGAAAAATACTTTTTATCATCTACTGAATCTTCTGTTTCAAATATGCTGTAAATAACCAAGTCTTCTCCATTTCCTTGAAAGTATACTGCCATTTGAATTACTTAAAATTCAATTTTATTTATAGTGACATTATATAATGTTTCTGTCTCTAAAAAATTAATACTAATTAAAACTGAAGACAAGCAAACAAAACTACAATCTGGTACAACAGCTTACCAAAGTAATGTAACACAGATATTTAGTTCAAGAGTTTATACATCATGGTAGGGCACATTCCTCAAAATATTTTACATTTCCTGACTTCAGGTGGCATCACTAAGATCTGTGAAGAACTTTGTTGTCATAATTTTTTTTTTAAATTAAAGCTATCATCTTAGATGTTGGGGTTTTTTAAGTAAAAGAAATGTTTAAAAGGTCAAAATCAAAACAAACCACTTAATTGTTTCCCTAAATATTTGTTTATAGAGATTTGTTGAAATGTTCAGCTTTGATTTCAAATGGGAATCATTTCAAAGACAGGAAAAGCACTACCTGAGAAAGCAGTTCAATCTATAGTAGAAGTGAGTGAATTATTTGCAGCAGACAATTTATTACAAGACCATAAAAGGCAGAGATGTCTTCCTCTCAGAGAAGGCAACTGCTGTTCACTTTATTCAGTTTCAGGATATTACTCATCAAATGCTTATTTTAGCTGCTACCATGCAGCTCCCTAAGCTCTTGTAACAGTAGTTCTAATGTTCGCATTCTGTGACTAGTCATCTAAATCAATAGTTTATACTCATTCAGGCCCAGCACAGCAATACTGAAAACCAGGAAGAAAGGTATCACTAAGGCCTCGTGGTTTTCACTGGCTGCTCCAATATACTGAATACTGAGGCAGTGAGCTTTGGCTCCCAAGCTTGCAGAAGAGCTTTACTGACTGGAAAAACTGAGGTACAGAATGCTCTCAATAAAATAATTTTTAAAAAAAAGGAAAAAAGAAAATAAATGTACATCTCCTCTAGTCACAAGGACTCATGGTCATGTCATATTACATTTCTCTTAGGATGTGTTTGTACAGCAAATAGCAACTGTGGCTGTAGTCTGGGGAGCCATACCGTCACAAGCTTTAATCAATCTAACGTGTACTGTAGCACTCACAACGCAGAAGCAGCACTTCAATTTAAGCTGCAGATACAATGGACCTCACTAAGTGAGAGCACCTTCGTGATGATTAGCACACTCTTAACTGCTGCATATTAACATCACCTCTTGGATCAATTCATCTGGACATGCTGGACAGACAATCCTTTCAAATGGACCACTATTTTGATTCAGCAGTTTACAGTGGGCTCCGAAGGATGCATGTTTCAGATCCCACCACACAACATAGCTAGAATATTTCCTGACATTTAGAACTTGTTAGTTGTTATGTCCCAAGTATTACTACATTACAGACAGACAAGAAAACATCTTTGAACGTCAGACTCAGAGTGAACAGTAAATGACATAAAAACTACATACAATGTTGCAACTGCATTTAAGAATAATTAACTAAAAGTTTTGCAAGCTACAGCACTGTCACTCTGGCAATGTGGAACCTTTGTTTCAGGAACAGACTCTGAATCTATTGTTTGCTTAATGAATTCAAATCAGCAACTGCACACAGCCAGAGAAGCAAAAGGGCCAATGGCAAGAGACACTTCAGAAACAGAACTCTATAAATTTTAACAACAATGGACTAAAAATACCAAAAGACCTGCAGATCTCACTGGTTCTTGAAACCACTGCATTAATCCCACAAGGCATTCCTCCTTTTCAGTGAGTCTCTGACCTGATCATCCTACCAAAGAAAAGATGAAATAGAAAAAAGAAAAGAAGAAAAAAGGAAAAAAAGATGACTGTACCTCCCTACAACTTCTTGCTTTCACTACTAAAACTCCTTTGGGTTGCTGAACTATGCAAATGTTCCCAAGAGCTGAGTACTGACACAATATGAGGTATTCTAGGGTTTTCTTTGCCACTGAGGGCTGCTTTGTTCTAGGCAGTTCTTGAGAGGTAAGAACACCTGAATGCACTGCTATTCCAACTCTATCATTTCCCCATGCAGTTTTAACATTGTATGTAGTAAGGGCTAACCCAACACTTACATAAATCTTAGAAAAAAAAAAATGAAAAGTGTCAAGTATGCTGATGAGAAACAGATATTTTGAGAGCAATGAAACGTTTCTTGCTGAACGGGTTATACCTAGGAATGAATTCCATCACTGCCACAGAAAATCTTGTTAATCAAAAACACGTGAATAAGCATTCTGAGATTTGCTGAACACTGGTCCAAATAGTCACCCACAGACTGAAAGGCCGGCTCAAGGTCTTCATGAATGTAAAGCTTTACTTTGGCAGATATTAAGTACATTCCTATGCTGCAAAAAACTTGTGTCTGACCTTCTGCCTTCAAGAGAGTATCAGCTACTGTTTTTAAAGCTGAATTTCACCCAAGATTTTTATATTGTTGTTTTCAGATCAGGAATAAATTTTCTGCACTGCAGATTCGCAATGCTAACTCAATACAAACCTGACATACTTCAAACAGCGCATCTTCCTGTGTTACTAAAGCTGTATCTTCTAGTCTTCAAGATGTTCTGTGCCTGTATTCGAATTACTTTTTTCATTTACACTTTCTTCTTTCTTTGTTTCTTTTCTAGAAGTCTTCAAACACTTATCGAGTCTTCTTAGGAATACATCTACATCTTCCTTTTTAATCCCAATTGCTGAGGCAGCATTGAGGTAAGCACAGGGATAGTCATTTGTATGTGACATAAAGCCTTTAAAAGTGTAGTTATTCACGGTTTGTACAGACCCACAGGGAACAACCCTGAAACAAACAGAATCGTGATTCAGTTAAAGATGCCTGGGATATTTTATGTGTAAATGTGTTCATCATAGGGTATCACAAGTTCATATACAATGTAATATCTGTTAACTCCAAACAAATTAATGTAAGCAAGCTTAGATCGGAAATTCTCCCAGTTAGCGCCCAAGCATCACTGTGAGGGACAGCAAATCCTGAATTAGCTCAAGCCTGTGTGCATACATGTATGTCCCTTCCCCTCTTCAGTTAAATTAAGGTCTTTACTACTGACATTTATGAACTCCCCAGTGTGAGGGGAAAAGACATCTGCAGAAAACTTTCCTATTCCATAACAACTTTTAAATATCTGACCTGCTCTGCCTCCTTAGGCAACCTGTGACCCTGACCTCCCCAGGATCACCATACTGACGGAAGCCTTAGTGCATACATCTGCTTGGCATAGTGTGCTGCAGTTCAAAACGCCTGGGTTCAAGTGATTCAAAGGGTACAGGAGGCCAGCTTCCTCCCAGCCGTTCCTCTCTACTGCATCTCCCTCTTCCCCCATCCTGTGATGTTAATCTCATATTCATTCTCTCCTTGTAGTGGATACTTTTTGCCACAGCTTTTCCCTCTTCCTCATACTAAGAACCTCTACCTATTACAACCTATTTCTCAGCACTTTCAATACATACTCATTCCCTGATAAATCAAGACTCTAACCCTCATCCTTGTTAAAGGAACAACTCACCTTGTGGCTACAGTTAAAGCCTACACAAGTAGTTAACACCAATCAATTGAAAAGAATTTACTACCTCTATAGAGAGACTCCCTGCAGTTCATAAAAGAGACTGGATTCAGACAAATACCACTAGGATTAGCAGATCCTTCTGCTGTCCAAGTGCTCTAAACACAGGTTATGCAAAAAGTGAAGCAGGGAGCTGCTATTCATACCACTGACATTCAGCACAAGCATAATATTCAAAATCTGTTGAAATGCTGGGTAAAACAGTGTATATACTACAAAATAATTCCTTGCTTATGTAAAAAAAAAGGAACAACCTTCACCTTATGTGTCAGACAAAGAATGGGAGAGTTTTAGCTTCAAAAATTGAACCTCTAGAATAATTTCAGCCAAAGGTGGCTGAAATTGCAGGACAGGGCAAGGTTAGAACAAGCAAATGAAAAAAAAAATCTAACTATCATACAGATAGATTTACTGTCATTCATCTGTGCAGGATGTGGAATAATCCAAGCTACTGAACCATACCTTCTGATGTGGAAACATTCAGCTCTGCTACAAAAAAATGACATTAAGTCTATGGCAGAAGTTAGCATGGCAGCAGTAATATTCAGATTAAGGACTCCTGCCAAAACAGATTTTAAATCATTATCTTCTTTTAAAAGGTTTAAACCAAAATAATTACAAAATATTTGGCTTGCATTTTCATGTACCAGTCTCTCCAAGATTAAATTTAGCTCAGACTGGCCTAGGTTGTAGATTCAATTTTTATTTTTATTTTTAAACACAATTAGTTTCAGAAAGCAGGATTTTCTTCTGTATGACAAAAAATTATGTAGAGTATTAAAAGCTTATTCCCCTGACATCCATCACAACCATATCTGTGCTGCAATAAATGAAACAAAGATCTTCCCTAAGTAGCTTACAACTTAACTATAAGATCAGACAGCAGCTGGAAACTAAATGAAACCAAGGGGTACTAGAGAATAATGACACTAAATTAAGCGGGCATTGAGTATCTATTTAGCCTAGCAAAGCTAACAAAGGAGGCCTCATCGCTAACTCAGGCAGGTCGACACTATTAGTAGATAACATGGATGAAGAAGGGTGTATTACTCTCCAACTCATTATTGTCAGACTGTAATCTGTAATCACGAGACAACTGGTACAAAACAAATATGATAGGATTTCGTAAAATAAGTACTAATGCAATCCTCAGATTTTTCGAATTCATAGCATCCTCACCTTGCTCCAGAAACCTGTCTTGTGAAAAGCATAGATCCAAGTTGAGTAACAGCAGCATCATTATTTTCATCTAGATTCTTCAGTGACATGGCTAAAGTAACAAAGGGTCAGGTTAAAACTATCGCAAAGCTGCTTTTTCTCCACAGAATCACCAGAGAGGACAAGCTGTTTTGCAACAAAAAAAATCTAGCCAAATAGTTGTGTTCAGATACAAAAAAAAAAAGGAAATATGAATATTACATTTCATAATTTTCAATTTTCCCACAAGCTGGCATAGATTACTTCCTTGGTTAGACTGTACGTAAGGCAGATTCTGCACAGGTAGGCAATAGCACTTTGGTGCGCACCAGAATTTTTGGTTAGAACAAATATCTTGCGTAGGAATTACATAACCTTTTTTACAGCACTATAAGATGATGAGTAAAATAATTATACCCTAATTTATTTTTAAATCTAATTACTCGTAAAGTATTACCACACGCTAACATCTTCTGCCTGCCTTGGTTACAATAAATGAGTACATTGGACAGGAGTAATTTTGTAAAAAAAATAAAGGGCCCAAGTCACTACTCTTACTTTTATAGTAGGTTATCTTATTGGGTTCAATGGTTTTGTATCAACCTAAGAACAATTTAATGGAGTGCAGTGAACAATGTTTAATATATAGGAACTGTATGTGAAAGTACACTATGAATGCACAGTATATTAGATCTTGGGGTTTTTTTTAAAGATAAAAACCAACAATTACCTAAGGAAATGGGATTATGTGGTGTGTCTAACAGTCTCTCATTGTGGTTGTCTGCCAGCTTCTTCAGCTCACTTGAAAGATAGGAAAACATCTCCTGGAAAAAAAATAGATGCAGTATTTTTTGTTATTAGCTATCAAACAGAGAAAATAGTACCTGTTTCACAAAACTGTTAAGTCTCCATTATCTCCTACAGGTGCCCAGCTGATCATCTTTTCTTGTGTACCAAATAACTGGACCAGACAACTCCCCAAAATCATCCTATAAAGGAAGAGCTCCATTTCCTAAACACTGCTTTTCCCCCTCAAGCTGGTACAAAGCTATCCATCTGGTCTAATAGATGTGCTTGGGATGTCACTCAGTCTCTCTCTGGCCCTGAAAACCAGGGAGACAAAATCTTGATGAGATTCCCACTGCACAGCAGGTCTTACCCCAGCCCACTCCTGCAAGAGCTTCCCCCCACCCTACCACCCTGAGCCGCAGATAATGAACTGTTACCATCACAGATGGTCACGTTATGGCTCTTTACTTGGCTTTCTCTCTATTAAAACATTCCAGACTAAAACTAGTGCATTTTGCTACCATGCATCACACAATCACAACCACCACTAGTGCACAGTTTTCTTTTTCTGTATGAGAATGGCAATACAGTCTCTCCAGGAGCAGCCTGCGAGCACCCATTTGAATGTATTTTGTTTGACACAATATATACTCTCCTGAATACTCAGCTCTATTGTGCAGCCAGCCCTCTGCCTGGAACCAGCCCCTCCTGTTCAAGCCCACTAAAAGAATGGAGATAACATCAATTAGATTGCACCTTTCTAGTGAAAGTGTCATAAAACCAAGATTCATAAATGTTTTGGCTCAGATACAAGTCACACTGCACATAAAAGGTTGCTTCTCTTACTTCATCCCTATTTTATTTCCTCCCTTTTCCCCCAGTAGGAATCTATGATAATTGCTCGTGGTCTTCCTCAGTTTAGTATCTTCCTCTTCACGTATCAGCTCAAAACACTCAGGGACAGAGTGAGAATAAACACCATTCTTCTTATTGTATCCTTTGGCTTCTTTTCCATCCTTTTAAATGTTTAGTCTCTCATAAAACCTAGCAAAAGGTACAGATATTGGGTAGTCTTTTGAAAAGATACTAAACATCAGATTTTTCCTCTTTCTGGCTATAAAGATTGTGCTGCTCATCTACTTCAACATGACTGCCTGTTTCAGCATCCTCATCAATTTCTGGGCCTGACAAGTGATTTTTCATTCTTTAAATAGAGTTGCCTTTTCTGTTTCAGGACCAGTATATCCTGCTCTGACCTGTGCACCCTGACAGATACAAATTATAGCTCGTGATCAAAATTATGGTTTTGAGCAGAACCTCCCAAAGGTCTTATGAAACCAAAGGAGCTTTGTGGTAGCTAAGTCAGAAGAATGTTACAGCTGCTTTTCTTAAACCATTGCAGTAAACCCAGTCTCATTTCATGAGTGCCCAAATGAAAGCGGCTCCTGACCTGTTCTTCCTAATACCATACAAAGAATTCAGCCAAAGAGGAAAAAGTACCATGTCTATATGAATTAGGCTAATGATTCAACTATCAACAAGACCATAAGGCTTCTGTAATACGTGAAACAACAACAAAAATTTTGGGAGGTATCTATAGTTAATTATAAGAACTTGAAATTTGTGAAAAATCATTCCTATTTTTCAGAGGCATTTGTAAATCCAGTGATTTTATGGTTTCAATTCATCAGACTTTATTTACAGTTCACTTGCAGAAGCTGAAAGACATTTATGTTTCAAATGTTCAGACCCTCTTGCCTGCCTTCTGGTCCCTCACTGAATATAAACACATTATTTTCTTGTTACTTGCTTTCCACAATGAGCATCACCAATGTGTTAGCCATTTTATTAGTATTTCTTTGGAATCCGAATAGTAAGTTAATCTGTGCTCCCTCTGCTGGCTATTTACTTCTACAACCAAAGCAAAGTATTACAGAAGCATACATAAATTGTGTCTACTATGGAGATATCATTGGTGAAATCAGTACCCAAAAAAACTTGTACTGGAATAGGCAGAAATCCCCAAGTAACTCATTGCTGTGTGTGGTAACTAGGGAATTCTCTATTGCATCTCTGAGAGTATTAATTGATGAAAGGACTGCAAGTTGGTATAACCAGGTACCCGTTGTATAAATTAGATTAAATTAAATTAAAATATTAAATACCTAGGTTATTAGATAAGCCTTTACATATACAAGATTTTGTTGAAACAAGGGAGAATGGAAAGATGGCAAAAAAATATCCAAGTATGTACTTTTATCAGTTTGACAGAAGCTACCTGAACGCAAATTCAGAATTTCTTATTTTTATGAACAACCACTATTTTACATCTTTCCATTGGAAGCCCTCTAGGCATTTTACAGCTTCAGAAGTTAAGCAGTTTGTTGCAAAACAGATGAAAGGCCTTTCCAAAGAAAAGGAAAAAAGCAGCATTTTTCTGAGGTCAAATCTATAACCGACCTCTATTATGAAATATTTCTGTTATGTGGAAAATTTATAAGCACCCTAAGCAGTTATATTCAAATGAGCTCTTACATAATTGATTTTCTGTGGTAGGCACTCAAGTTTTCTCCAAAAAAGCTATTATGCTAAAGTTATATTGAACAACCCAAGCACTAAATGTCAGTTAAGTTTCATTATTTCATTCACTCTTTCTCCTTAGAAACTTATCTCAAACCTCAACAGGCTAGTGAAATGAACACTAAATTATATGAAAACATCTCACACTTCTTCTGATCTCTCTAGCACCTAAACTGATAAAATACCTAAAAAAAATTATGGAGAACAAGTCAACAAGGGCGTATGCATCAAATGTGCCAAATGATTCAATTATTTGAACAAAATGGGTCCTTCCACATAAATATACAAACGTATTTTCAAGGTGTTTTGTAACAACTATTAAAAATATTTGAATCATACAGTATTTACATTATAAAACTATTTTTTTAACAGAACCTACACCGATATGGGTGACTCCTCATTTGTTGCTCCAGTGTGATAGGCACTGTTGTTATCCCAAATAAAAATAAGTAGAGGGAAACATAAGGAAAAAGCCGGTAACTCCAGAGAAAAAGCAGAAAATGGAGGTACTAAATATGGCATTAGTACCACATAAGGTGACAGAGAGGCTGTCTTGACCTTGACATCAGGCTCCTTGTGGGTCATACCTCTCCAATATATGCTTTGGGGACACGCACCTCTTTGAAGTTTCCCTTCATACTTGGCACTTGTTAACTACACAACATCATTTAAGATAATGATTACATTCAGTTAAACTATCTTGCCTCCTGTCACTCTAAAATTTGGATATGGTTCCACATATTTCACATGAGGAAAATCTTGCAACATCCCCACACATCTGACAAACTACAGGGTAGCAAACTGACCAGACAAAAAAAAAAACAGTGGAGTAACAAATGTCTGTCTTGTTGTAAGAATATTTTATTTTTTTACATTTTTAATATTCGGCATTAAACTGTTTTTCTCTTATTCTTAAATTCAGTAGTAGAGCAATAAGTAGAGCAGCAATATAAGCTCACATTGAACTGTACAAATAATTTATTCCTATCAGAATAATTACATAAATGATAAACCATGAAACATAAATCCAGTATTTTACTGAATTGTAAAAACCAAACATTTTCCTCCAACTCAGTGTGATTTTAAATATTTTAGATAGATACTCCATAAGGCTGTAAAAATTACTCCAGTTAATCACTTTTAGAAAGTATATGGACAGATGGATGCAGATATAAGGAAGCTCCATCATGTCCCAAGTAACACAGAAATACATTTAGGAGAACCACAATTATCTTGATTGTTAAATTGTTAAGAGAAGTCTAATGAGGAAATCCATAACTGCTGAAAAAAATAAAATGGAGCCATCACCTCTTCAATAATACCAGTATAATAATTAGTTAAATGGATTAAATGGACCACATTGGACAATGGTTAACAGGTATTAAACCTCTTATGTAGGGTCCCAAATGTAAACCCTGAATGCAAGGTCCTTGCTCTCCATCAATTCTGAGGTGACAACTGAAGTTCACTGTTTCTGCTGCTACACAGAGTAACCACCGCATTCGCTACATGTGGCCCGGTTCAGACACACACATACATGAAAATAGAGAGTTTTAAGCCCTGGCAATGCAGAATATGGGACACAACATAACCTGTACTGAGGAAATCAAAGGAGTTGCTACAAAACCATAACCTTTACATAGTGAGTTCTTTAAAAGCAAAGGTATTAACAAATTTGATTATGGATCAGCTGTCATTATCTGCATTAAAAAAGCACCTAGAATCCCCCTACTGAGACTGGAAAACCACTGTTCTAAACACCACATAAACATATAAAAAGGAATACTGAAAATTCAGAACAAGTGAGAAAACATTACTGTTGATGGTCATCTTTCATCCTTTCTCTGGAAACATCAAAGCTAAACACGACTGTTGAAAGCATTCCTTATTAAGCTTTTGCATATGGGCACCTTTATTCAGACACGTGGACAGCATATATGTGTTACTCTCTTGCTCTTCTGTCCTCGTGAAACATCCACTGCACCACTTTACTCCTTCACGGTCTCATACTCTTAGACAACTGCACACTCCATAACTGCCAGCTTGTCAGAAAATCCCACCCCATGCACATGCTCCTCTCCCTCCCATAACCTCTTTCCTTCCTATATTAAACAGTTCATCTGTGTAAAAGAAAAACTGGGCAAACTATTTTTTTCCTTGGTTGTGCGAGATTAATCTCTTCTCAGTAATATTCTGGTCTTTCTGGCTTGAACTCAAATAACCTGAAGTAAAACCCACATGAATAAGGATAAGGTAAAAAGAGAAAGAAAAAAAAAAAAACTTGAAGTTTTTTATAGCTGACTTTTTGTGTGAGTAGGTGTAGCTCCACTGATATAGAAAGGTATACTCAATGTCAGGCTATAAATAGCTCCTGCTGGGAGCCTAATAGCTCTGGCTCTGCTTTCATAGAGCACAGGCAATAAACTATCACTATTACATTTTTACAATTCAGGAACAAACAGATTTAAGCAAAAAAGGTTTCTATTTCTACAGCAAATCCAATAAAAGAAACATATTTATGCCATTTATAAGGCTGTGTTTATAGAGTATATTCACATTTGAAATAAAAAGACTTGAAGTTGTAGAAATACAATGCTTTATTCACTTTAGAATTCTACTTCCAAGAAAAAGATATGGTTCAAAATATACAGCTATTCATTAAGACATTTTATTTATTAAAGAATTATTACTTATGACATGGAGAATATTTATACTAACCATCATTTATCTGCTACTAGTGTAAATCTAACATCAAAATCAGGTTTGCAGAAGACGTGATAAATTCACTTGAGATTCTTTTGGAGATGAGAGTGAAGGGGGAAGAAGTACAATTTGCTTTTAATAAAGACAAAAACCATAGGTGGCAATATGTACAACAGTCCAGAATAAAATGCTAGAAACTATTGCAATAGTGGCAAAAGTGGTAACAGTTTTCAGTGTTTCACAAGCTATGTTTTCAGTTTAGTTGCACTTCTTAGTCACTGCAAGGCCGCTAAGCTGGTTTGGTTTTCTATAGTCTAGCTATTCCTATGGGATCTCAGTTCCAGTACAGAATTTCTGGATGCCTCTACAAGCAGCCAGAAACAAGTGCTAGCACCCAGCACTACTGCCCTGCCTGGTATTCAGAGTCATCAGCAAGTGGTCAGCAAGAAACAATTGGAATGTAGTTTCTAAATAAAATAACGGAACAGATCACATATGATTTAAAACTATTAACTTAACAGTACTTAATGCACAGCATTTCCTTACCTAAAACCCCCTACAAAAGGAATCCTCTGTGTTTATATATAAAGATAGCAAAATCAGGCTTGTATTATGTCCAGAACTAAGGACAAGTCAAGATGTACAGGTTCCAGCCTTAGACCCCTTGAATGTTTGTGCAATGCAGTTATACCCAACATAAAGCCCATAGTCAGTAAGAGGCAAAGAAGAAACCTGCCTCTGTATCTTGATGAATATCTTAAATTACAGTATTCTTCTCTTTTTGTGGTCATGGACAGTATTTATAACCTAACCTGTGATTCTCCAGAGGATGTGGTACATAAACATTTAATTAAACACTATCATAGCACAAGGGCACAATAGGGCCAAACAAAGAACAGCAGAGACCTCTGTGTTACCTCCGAGTGTCTGATCTCATGCTTCTGTCCTAGAAGCAGTGCGACCATGATAACACAGCACAGTACCTCTCAGATTAAGCTTTTGTGAGTAAAATTGTACTGTATTAGTCACATTTGAGAAAAATGAACAAGAACACTGTGCAGTTTTGCAACAAGAGTCTGCTAACAGCTGACTTCAAGAAAGTGCTGCTTGCCAAAACGCTTACCTTTCTCTCTTTCAGTAACTGTTTGTAGCCACTGGCACCTAGAGACAGAAGTGTAATGAGGACATCTAAGGAAGGAGATGCAGATGCTCTTCCTGAAAAAAAAACGAACCAAAACAACAAACAACAAAAAACCAGGTTAAATGGTAAAAAAATATTTTTTCTGTGAAAGAAAGCTGATAATCAAGTCTTATGGATGAAATCAGTTCATGCACTAGTTACCTGGATACATTTTGCTGATCTCCTGAATGAAGGACTCATTGAAGCCAGCAATGATAGCACCACCTACTGGAACCATAAAATTTTTGTCCAAGCTCTGAACAAAAGCATCTATTCTGCCTACTCGAGCACCCTTTGTCAAAAGGAAACAAAACAAAATCCACAGCATACATCAGGAAAAAGCAGATATGTGACAGCATCATAATCACACCACCATATAATTGAAATACAATTCCTGAAACTCTCAGATGTTTTATTTGTGATGAAAAATTAAAAATTATACTATTACCTTTTCTTATAATTGCTCACTATTATTACCACTGTCCGCTTACACAGTACCTTACAAATTCCTATTTTGCTAAGATTCAAAATATTGATTTTAGACCCTGCAGGTCTACGTGTAGCTTATTTTCAACAACAACCAAAAAGAAAACCCTTGGAATTGAATGGGACTTACGCAGTTAAAGCTGTTCAGGTTCTCAAAGTAAAGGACTACAAGTTAATGCTTCATTAGAAAAGATGCTTTTTCTTGATATATGTGTAAAACTGCATTAAAACAACTGAGTTTGACACTACTCCTTCTTATAAGGCTGCTTGCAAAATCAAGATCCAGGAAACTTCCTATAGCAGATTTCCCTACTTCCCAGAAAACAAAATGTCCTTATTTGTAGCCACTCAGATTTTCTTAAAGGAAAAAATGTAGATTACACAGCACATCTTCAATTTGAGTAACATGCTACTGTGAACTGAACAATTAAAGAGTATACAGCGTAACAAAACCTGAAAAGCATATTAGAAATCATTTATACTAAAGTATATTCATATACATACACATTAAAGTAATATGAACTAAAACGAAGAAATAGAAACAGAGTTAATACCTATGGCAAAAAGAGTAAAAAAGTGGATCCAACTAAACCACAGTTATTATTTTTATGTTTTAATAGCTTAGTGCATAGGAGATAGGAAAAAGCACTAAGTTTGTCAGTTTTTGATGTGGAGATGAATGCCAGCAGCTATCATTGACAGGAGACCACCGAAGAAAAAACGCAACAAATGAAATGGTCTCAAAAGCTCTTTCCTGTGATACTCTTGCAAGTTCTGTTCACACTGTGCTCAGCATGAACATATTCCTAAGTATTCTTTAATAACTACTTTCTCATAGACAGTACATTTTCTATTACAGTAAATAAATTTGGTAAATAAATCTAAAGCAAATCAGAGCTCAAATGTATACATTTGCATAACCAAAGAACAAACAAACCCTAAACAACTATCAAGAAACCAAGAAAAAAACACAGAAACAAACACAGTAACAGTTGTATTTGTAGCTTTGTAGTCTGAAAAGATTATCATTAGATGCATTTCATGCAGTAAAGCTCAGCAATTCCACAGCCCCTTCCATGTTAGCATTCCACTAAACTTGTGCACGTTAAATACAATAAACATGTACCAAGTACACTACAAATAAAGCATATGCCATTTTCTGTTTCACACATCACTTCAAGTTTTGCCAATTTTCTTCAGTCTCTCAAGATTTAGAAGTGCCAACATGACATTCCAGTCATAATTATAGATCAAGTTCATCTGTGCCCAGTTTATAACAATTTTTTTTTATAATTAGAAGACATTACCAGCATATTTGGAATTCATAATAGTTCAGGATCCACTGAATCCTTATAAAAAAATGTCCACATATTTGTTTTTATATAGGCAAGAGAGAGAAAAGAGAAACAATGATGAAACAGTGCGCTTACATTGCAATGAGCAAAAATGCAAGAATTCTAAGTTTCATAGCTGATCTTAGATATTAAGCAACATCCTCTTAAAACTAAACAGAAACAGAAATTAACCTTTTTTGAACATAACATTGAACTTAACCTAGTTTCCTCAGCGGTTCTCTGTGCCAACAACACTTTAACAGTGACAACATCTATCAAGTGTTACTGTAGAATCTTGTACCTTCAATTAAAATCTCTCAGTCTGCTGAAGGCTTAATCCCTATTCAAGTATGATCCATTATTGTATTTTTAGTCAGCAAGTTTAGGAAATATTTTAATAAAGCTTATAACGACATTTTTCCAGTATGAAAGCCACTTGAACATAAACAAAACCTAAAAAATTTTTGGTTTATTACATAAAAAGCACATAATAGAAATTACCAATATTATTTTTAAGCTATATTTTTCTGCTCCATTTTCTTTTGTTCAAAGTGTTCAAATATCAGACATGCATGGGATTAGTCTCAAAGCTGTAAAAACATCTGATAAAATTTGCTAGTGTTGTCTATATTCAGAGATTTACTTACACTTGTTAAAAAAATTATTACTGGAAATGCATAGCTCCTACCTGCTGGATAAGATGCATACATTTTGAAGACTGAACTCCATACGCATTGTTGACAATATGGGGAATGTCATAATTAGCACAAATAACAGCCAGTTCCTCCAGCCTATGAGCATAAAATCGTAATTTAGAGAAGCACTGATAACTGTAACTTATGTTACAAATCAGACCATTAGAAGACTGAAAGGTCTACAAGGAGGTCAGAATGAGAAAAGAAACTTCTTTGGTTACTACCTCAAGGAAGCACTTGTCACCTTAAGCTACAAAGGTTAAGAAGAAAATTCTGTTAGTTTTCACGTATACTTCAAATTGTTGACTTGAGCTGAAGTTTTTCATGCTTCACTTAAAGTTCTGTCCGGAAAGCAGTAAATAGATCCCAAGTAATTCTACTTCAGATATAAGTATTGCTTTGTATTACTTCAATGATAACTAACAGAGCTTTAGATACTCATACTTTTTTCATTTTTTTCTAATATTCAACATGAAAATGACGTAATAGAAGTTTCAAGATATGCCTTGGGAATCAAAAGCATCATGTAACAGGAAGTTTTTACGTGCTACTGTTTATTTCAAAGGACTAATATTTCAGCTCTTTGGCTGAAATCTCACTTGCCTATCTCAGTTAAACTGATTCTTAGAGAAGATATTCTTCAAAGGAATGGAGAGCCCTAAAATGTCTGAATGTAGAGAGCAACAAATTTAAAACTTTGTTCAAGCGTTTACTTGGAAATAAAAACAATTCTTCACTTGCCTTTAGAAATCCCTAAAATCACAGTGACCTCAGCCTGGATTGATTTCTCAGTCAAACTAGGATCTAAGTCATTTTGGTTAAGGGCCTTCAGCATTTTAAACGCACAAGTATTAATATCCTTTTTTGAAGCACTACAATCATGCTCTATTTAAAAAAAAAAGCCTCTTGATTTTCCACAAACTTGTGAATACATTTTAGAAATAAAATCTATTTTAAAAAAATAAAGTAAAATATGATAATTTAAAGTGATGATAAAGGTAGTATTATTTTTTTAAAAGTCAGAAAACTCTAAACTTCCAATGCATTTTTACTCTATCTCCTTCTGTACAGCCTCTCACTGTAATTTACTGACATTCATATAAAATGTGACAGAGTAAGAAAACATTTTCCAAGAGGTGACATTCCTTTGCATTCTATTTCTATTACATTGCCTAGTGTCGTTCTGTAACGCAAAATTCAGCTGCAAACCTCAGATTAAATTTTCTGAACCTCAATCCTTAAGAAAACATCATCATTGCCATATTATTCCTAAAGAAATCACAAGCATTTAATGATTAGGAAACACCAGTAGTAAAATGTACATACTGATCTTTTGCATTCAAGATATTCGTCAGGAGCTGCATGTCAAATAATTTTTCACATTTATCAACATCCTGAATCTTGAACCATGTAACATTAACAGAATATTTCAGAAAACATAAGACTACACAGGGGAAAGTTTTTGCCTTCTGATCTGCTGATCTTAATCAGACTCATGCCTCCCCTTCCACACAGATGCAAAGGAAAACAGCTCCCCTCTTACAGGCTTTTCAAGTGCAGGTAGAGAATTTCACCAAACTGGAAACACAGAGGGTGTACTGCTATGTATGTTTGTCTTTCTTACCTCCTGAGACTTAACGGAGCAATAAGCTACCTTCTATAAGTACTGAAAACAGAAAAGTCTCTTTACTTTCCTAAAAACATTCTGTTGAATAATTAGATCCATATTACAATACAGGATGAGGGTGCTACAGTTTGGAAAGAATATGTGATTATGCAAGGGAAGCACACAGTTACACACAGCACTTGTCTGCTGCCAAGGCTCAAAACACACCGTTAAAAGTACTGCTAGTCATATTAGAAAAATTAAGCATTAATGTAAGTTTCACTACTACTCGAGTTCTTAGAAGTCACAAATAGGACTTGCAGAAGTAATTTCCAATTTATTCTTTCTTTCTCTCCTGCTCGTGAAAAGTTCATAAAAAGAAAGCTTTGCTCTTTCTTCTAATATTAATGAAAGCCAAGTAGAGAAACTGAAAGACACTTTCGCTCTCCCCCATTAGTTCTCTGTTAAATACTGTAGTTTTAGAGACAACTCACAGCAACAGCAGGTAAAAGACTGAGAACTGATGTCTGAGGAAGGAGGTTAATACACTAGTGAATCATTCCCATAAAGTTAAACAATACTTCCAGGGAAAGCTATAGGTGCACACACATAAAACTCTCACCCTGAGCTTTTAACAACTCTAAGCCACTTAAAATTCTAAAACACAACCACCACAGCTAAAAAAAGTCTTACAAATGCAAGATATTTAAAAATAGACATTTAAAATGGCGCCCACCAGAAATGCTGTATGGGATTTTCCTTCCTGTAGGAAGATGAATGTTATGGCCTTCACTAGCTGACAGTATCCTTTAAACAGAAAGTGCATTCAAATCCTCCTATATCTGCGGTATATCATACCACAGTGCCACTACCTAATAATTCATCTCTTAGTTGCAGAGGACAAAACAATCACATGTCAAAAAGAGGAGGTAGATAAGGAAAAGATTCATTTACCCAAGCTATAAAATAGACCATTCAATTTTGATAGCTGTGATTTAAGTTAGCCAATAAATCTGCAAGTCAACTTCAAGCAATGTTCATACTATTCTGACAGAATTGTACGGTTTTAACTTCCCTCTAGCAACTGGGCTAACCTATGATAAATACTGCTTTTTTGCTTTTTTTTAAGGTAGGAAACAAGAGCAAAACATATATTTACTTGCCATGTTTCAGAGTCACTGCAAATATGCAACTAAAGTTTCCAGATAACAAAGTAATTTAACAAAAAAAAGCATGCACTGCAGAGGAACTGTTAACATAAGTCTTTAAAATTTTGTGATAAATTAAAAACAATTAAAGTGGAAAAACTGAGACACTACATTTGAAACCATGTAAAAATAGATATTTTACTAGTATCTTATACTTCAGTGTGCTACATAAAAGCCCGTAAAATATACCTGTTCAATTGTAAAACGTAATGAATTTGCTTATTGATGTTATTTTCGTAAGCAAATAAAGCAAGCAGGTTTTGTGAGTAACAGAGGTGCTCATTTTGGACAAATGACTCAATATACCAAGTATGTCAGCCACCTCTATTCCATTTTCAGATTGAGAAGTTTTTCAAACATTTCATAACGAAGCTACACATTGAAATAATGTCTCAGATACTCTTATTTCCCACCCATAACTGCAACGTTCATCTCAGTTTGAGCTAATGCTTGAATGACATCTCTGCAGCAACTACGGAAGTTATGTACATCGACACATAATATTAGGAAAGAATGCAATGCAAAGTATTTCAAGCTTCTTTTAATGGTGATTTAACAGCTGGAAATTATATGAAGTAGCATCATGCAATCAGGCAGCAAATGTTCAAATCAAGATAAGCTACAGCAGGGCAAATCATATGTTATACAGCACATCTGCCCTAGATGCTTCCAAGAGTTTCCTTATACCAGTATATCTTAATTAGCCCTATAAACATCAGTATAATACAGGAAAGAGTAACTCAAGCAAAAAAATTAAATTTAGCTGCAGCTTTTTTTTTAAACTGCATTAACAGCCTAGGAAAATTCATCACTGGCTAAAGAAAAAGAGTAGAAAAGCCAACAGTAATATTAAAATATGGCATTAACTATGGAATGACATTTCCTGGACTATGTTGCTATGAAAGTCTACTTTTACCACTTTTCTGAAATAAGAAAACCACTGCCAAAATGGCATTCATTTCACCACACAAGATCATCTCTAACCTCAGTTATATGACAGAAGGAAAAACTTTTCCATTATTCTCATTTTTAAAATATACTTTTCTTAAAGTGCAACATTGTTTCAACCTGCCATTTTCCTACAGCAAGGGGAATAAAGTGTCGTTACTAATTGTTGGCAGTAATTAAGCAATTTTAGGAAGATGGACATTTAAAACATGGTGGTTCTGTTTGGGTTTTTTTTGGTTTTAGTGTTTGTTTCTTTTCCCCAGTAACAAGTAACACAGACTACTACAAAGACTACTTACCTATCAGGTACCCTTGGAGCAAAGCAAGATGTTGTAGAATGCACACAAAGAATATTTTCAGCACCAAGAGCCTTGACTTTAGCCTCCACTGCTTCGATGTCGGTCCGTAGCTCATCGCCTTCTAACACATTTTCTATCACCACAGGCTCAAAGCCTAACCAAAAAACAAGTGAGATTTGTATCATCAAATCTCAGACTAACTGTAGGTTTTTAGTTCCAGGATGAATCTGAAAAATCTTCTTGCTTCTGTTGCTTTAACAGATCCTTTCAAACTTGGATCAAGAACACAGATACATAAACTGCTTTATTGTACAATGTCTGTATAACTACAGTAATATTCTTGTTAAATACTGGACTCCAGACTAAAGCTTACCTTACATTCTTTGGATGCAACAGCAACAGGTTTGAAAATTGGTTTAAAAACAGATTAACCTCTTCCCTCCCAATTAAAAATAAAGTGTTTGAGTGGCTTTCTTGTAAAACATCAGTATACTAAAACAGCTTCTCTAAAAAAGGATGTCATTATATGTTGCAATGCAATAATGATCATTATGAATTGGCTTTCATCATAAGGCTCTGCCTTATTCAAACTATAAACTTCCAAATTACTTCTTAAAAGATAAATTGTCCACGTCTGACCTAATTTTGAAAGTGAACTTTGTCATATTATAAAATCCTGGCTATTTCCTAAGTCTTTTATTTTTTTCCAGCTTCCAGTCGAACTTTGTATTTAAGATGTACAACATTTGAACCTCATAAGGTTGTTTCTCAAGGACACATATGAAAAATGTTTGAGAAAAGGAAGTTATTCCCTTCTTCTAAGTGCTGGAGTGTCTTGTTTTGGAAAGGGCTACTCAAGACGGATGTCGAAAAACCAGAGGGGTTGCGGTATAGCACACACATCTTAGAAAGGCTGTAAGAAATCCTGAAGAGGCTACAGTGAATATCTAATAGCAGCCCCCCAACCATCTGAAAGGGAATTAGAGAGACAAGAGAGCCAAATTCTCCTTGGTAGGATATAATGAGAGGCAACAGCAACAAATTTTGGCTTGAGAGGTTCAGAACAAACAGCAAGAAAAGCTTTCATTCAGAGGATAGCACAGCACTGGAACTGCTATCCAGAGAGGTTGTGGAATCTCCACCCTCAAAGACTTTCAAGATTCAGCCAGACAAAGGCATGGTTGACCTAACCTAGCACTTAAAAGAGTTTTTTTCTTAAAGAGGGAAGCCTGTCATGGTAGATGCTCAAATTTCTAGCTAATAAATAAATAAATAAGGTTTCGTTCAATAATAAAATACTGGAAACCATATATTCCCTTCCCCATACAGGTGTGGCATGCCAGCAACATCACGCTACCTGAAGTGACTGTTGCTTTCTTAAAAAACAGATTGCATTGAATAGATAGTTGTTAGATATTTAATACCTGCTTCTCTTTTAGTTGATAATTCTTTTAATTATGTGATAGCTATCTTAACTATTCAAAAAACTAACAATCAATTATATTTCCTCACAATCTTCTCCATTATAAATGTAATTTCCTTAGTTTGATGCTCTAAATTGAGCACAATATATTGAAAACACTCCCACTTTTCTTATATATATTCTGTTTGTTCTGATCTGATTCTTTTTAAACCCCTTTGCATCTTACCTGGACAGAATCCAGCCCCTGCTTCCAATTTTTTAGTCATTTTTATCTAATGAGTCTTTTATGCAGAAAATAAATGTGTCCTAGAAACTAGGACCAGAATCTATGCCACCACCTGCAGGTATGTGCACTGAGCTGGAAAATTATGTTCTCCCTTACTTGCCCTTTCCTTGATCCCATGCATCTGTCTGCAAGAAGGAACAGCTTAAGTGCAGGGATAGACTTCTACCCTTAGCTTACTTGTAGTGTGGGAAACAAGGAATTCCATTGGAGAGAAATTAAGGTTTGAACTAAGAAACGCACCAAACTCATTTCCTGCGTGAGCTGAGTGGCATCACAAGATTAAAAACAAATAGGGCAGCTAACACTTCCCATGTTCAAAAAGAATGTGTGATTCAGACAGTTGGTCACCTTGTGAGCACAATTCCTAGGATACGTTAGCTTTCTGCGTAAATCTAAGAGAGATTTGAACCATGAGCCTTGGTTTTACACAAGTCTCAGGACAGCAAATTAGTCATCTAACTCCAAGAGTAAACTCTAACTTCCTTGTTAGTGTTGTGTTCTCTATTGATGACTTTACATACCTCTGTACCTCAGCATACACTTAAGTTTTACAAGGCATTTAGAAGACAACTCACACATGTGATTGCATGTTAGAAATCAGGCGTGTAGAAATAAAGCACTTACACGCATTAGGCCTTTTCTGGATCTTACTGTAAGCATAAAAGTTTATCACTCTGCTAGACGAAGTTTTATATCTGTTAGAAGAACACACTGCGTAATCAGTCAGCTCCTTCTTACCTGCAGTTATCATTGATTTAAAGCAAGATTTCTGGTCTATACGGGGCCAGATAATGTATTTTGCCTTTGGTCTCTTGTGCCGCAATGTTAAAAAACACAGAGTTAGACTCATGCCGGTTGCCATAGGAACCACAAAGCAATTGGTCACTGTCCGGACACCTGCACATAAAAAGCAACCCAATAATTAACATGAGGGATCCATTACATGCCCTCAAAATGAGAGATATTTTCAGATTTACACTTACCAGCCTGCTTTATAATATCCAGAATTACTGAATTAGTAAGTTTGTTCAAAAGGCTAGACCCTGCAGCTTTAGGCTGGACTGCAGAAATATCACCTGACCTTCCGATTCCATGGATCAACCTAAACAAAAAAAGGTTGAAAACACACATCAGGTTTTTTTACATCTCAAAGCAATAATTCTTGCTGACTCAAGAGAATTTGATAAACAATTGTGGAAAATGCTATATTCAATACAACATCACTATCTGCCATGAGTTCCATTCTAACAAAGTACATATATTTGTGTGAAACTGTTATTTTATTCTTTTAACAGTAGATTAACAATGTTCCAGTATGCAAGTAAAAACTGAGAAGACCCATAGTAGCAACACTTTAGCATCTGGCAGGCTTCCTTTTAAGCACACCTCAGCACTTCTCGATGTCTGTTGAATTAGCATTATAAATGCTGATGTGTTCAGACACACAACTCCAAGGAAAACAAAAATCAGTTACCAACAGTGTAGCATACCATAGGCATAGTGGCTCTATGCAGATACTCCCCTGACAAATGCTTCATCTCCACAGGGCAAATAAATAACATACACTGTGACAAAATGTCCTGAAAGACAGTTAAGTTAATCTGCCACTTCGCCTGTCTTTTTCTACATCATCACTTCATCTACCCCATTCTACTATTCAATACTATATATCATGCAATACCATCTCTCTCTGCATTCTGTTTATAAATTATGTTTATAAACTGCACTTATAAATGTTGGACACCATTTAACACCTTTCAGGAGTGGAGGATCCTGAAATTGTTTCTAAAATTTAACCTTACAGAACTAACTTCACCCATGGCTGAAATGCAGCAGCTGCTCAAGTAAGCTAGTAACAATACACATCTATTTATTGCTTTATTTCTGGTTTTGTACTGGGAATAGAGTAAAATGCAGTCTGATGAGTCTATGGAATTCAGAACTTCTTGGAGCTTAGTTTTACATCTTAATTTTTTTCCCCATTTCAAGCTGTAGTTTGAAATCAAAAATAGTTTGATAATTAATTGAAACTTGTATACAATCCTCACTCCATCAAAAATAACTTCTTCCCTCATTCCT